TTTTTTACCGTCTTTACCTTTTACTTTTCGTTGGAATCTCATTTGTAATTGAAATAGTAATAACTAGTTTTTTTTAATTTGGTAATAAATATAGGGGTTAATTAGCCTAATATTTTTTTTGGGCTGCATAATTAGGTAACTAACTACTGCATAATGAAATTTATGTATGTAAGAGAGAGACAAAAATAATGGACAAAAATACCCCTGCGAAAATTAATAAGTAATATAGTTCACTAGTCAATCATTTGTATATCTTTTGGTACTATTTGTTAAATCTAGTTAACTTTATAATTTGCTTTGTATGTAAGCATAATTAGCTATCATTAAGCTAATAGTTTTCTAATTAACACTTATAGTTAAATCTAGTTAACTTTGTAGTTTGCTTTGTATGTAAGTATAGTTATTTTATCATAAAATAGTTAACTATGTAGAGCATTGAATCATGAAATAGCTAACTATGCTTACATACAATATGTAAAGCATTGTATGTAGCTAACTATGCTAACTATGTAGAGCATTGTATGTAAGCGTAGTTAGCTATTCTATCATAAAATAGTTAACTATATGTAGAACATTGAATCATAAAAATGGTTAAATATGTAGTTCACTACGAATTTCAATAGTTAGCTATGTAGAACATTGAATCATGGGGCAAAAATGAAATTTTATGTGGCAAAAGTTTTAGATACCTAATTTTGTTTTACTTAAAGTTAGTCTCTTAATTATGTCTTAAGAGACTAATATATAGTCTAATTTCCCTAAATATAACTCGTCTTTAAGTTGAGTCACAAAATTTTGTAAGAATTTATGCAGAGAATATATGGTCCTTGGTAAGTATTTATGAATGAAATAAATCTAAATTTAGTTATGGAAGACTTCAAAGAGATTTTGTTATAATTAATTTCATTTATAAGAAAAAAAATTGTCATGTCATCTTTTTTAAAGTTATGTCATAATTATTTTGGCAAAAGTAATAAAATAATTGTGGAGTTGACACGTAAGCGTTGTCTCCAAAATCACTTTCCAAATAATATTGTCTGCAAAATCACTTTCCAAAATATCAAATCGATTTCTCACTAGAAAGAAACCAACAAAGACAAACAAAAAAGCTCTTGTGAATGAAAATGATGACAAATTATTTCACTATTAACTAAAGCTAGATATCCTCTATATATTAATAGATGAGATATTAGGTGAAAAATCCTTGGTGTCAATCAAACAGAATTCTAAAAAATTCTTAATGAATTTTTTTTAAAAAATTCTTATGCAAATAATTAAAACACCTCAACTATATTTTAACAAAATTACCCACCGAATTTAAAGCTACACAATCCATCATTCGCTTCAAATTTTACCAAGCCCAACAATAATTGCCAACAAATCTATGGTAATTAATTTTGAGGGTTTTATTTAAAGATCCTCTATATATTAATTGATGAGACATTAAATGAAAAACAATCTTATGTGCATTCAATGGATTTTAAGGGACATATCAATTAAACTAAACAATCAAAACATTCCAATTAATTATATATGCCATATTGAAAATCTCTACATATTTACATTAATTCTTGAGATTTTTAAAAATGCCACTTTTCAGGTGCCACTTTACAAAAATGCCACATTTTTACAATCTTTGCAAAAATGCCACTTTTTCAAAATTTTTGATATGTTATTAATTTAAATCCAACTAAAATCTAATATTTTAATATTTTAAACGTTATATAACATAATGTTTTAACGAGGAATCATTTACCGATGTCAACTACTTTATAAAAATTGTATTTATGTCCATTTGGACACCATTTGTGATTGATTATACAATTATTTTTTTTATATCGTGTACTTGTATCTATATTACTCTAATTAAAGTTGTGCTTTTGTTACAAACGTATAATTTTACAAATAAAACATTAATGTTTGAATTTCGAAAATCATCATTATTATTTCTTTAATTTTTTATGTAAGAATATTTACATACTAACGCGATATTTTTTGGGTTTGGTAAGCTAAAATAAGTTTGAAAGAACCCATAATTTCAAATGTATTCATTGACATTAAAAACGCTTACATTCAATCTAAGTGTCATGAAGATTAAATTTTATAAGATAAAATATATTTATCTATATGGAAATTTTCTATTTTTTTTTCAAATTTTGTATTTCTCAAAATTTCTTGATGTTTGTTGTTTCTAACTTCTTCCGTAAATTTTTTATTTTCAAATATAATAATCCAGTATTTGACGCGGGTAGTATAGTGATATTAAAGCAACATAATTTTAGTTTAGAGATGACGATGTGAACCCTTTATTACACGAGAATGCTTAACTGAAATAAAAATGCCAAAATAAAAACATGGAAGACAATACAGATTGTAAATTGATGGAGACGAGAGAGGCCGTAAACTTGATATGAGAAATAGATCAAAGACGTCACTTAGTAATGGGTACGACACTGACTCCGAACTGATGGAGCTGGTCGCTAGCTTTTCCATGGAATCCTACGATTTTGTGATCTGCCTTCTCGATTACGAATTTTGAAGTAGATTCGAGTCCAAAAGGCGGAGAGATACGTACATTGGTCTTGAACTTGAGCATTGTTATTATTGAGGATTCACCTCCAAATATTTTATCATAACAACCCTCGACTGCCGTGATGTATTCACTCGGATATGCCAACTCGAACTGTAAAACAAGATATCATATATATGGAGAATGAGGTTCGTGAAGAAACTATAATACGAGTTTAAGGAAATAACATTGAATTAGTATAATCACCTCTTCGTATCCAAGCAAAGTCATCTTTCCATGCTCTTCTCCTAACACCACCTGGTTGTTCTTGTCATACACAAACTTGACGGATGCAATACCACTTTCACCTTGTCCCACATATATCTTCCTCACATCATCGAAAACACCATCGTCCCATGAAGCTCCTCCGTCACCACCTATACCTTGTAGTTTCTCTGCGGGAGGAGGAGGAGGCGGAACAAGGTGCGAACCAAAATATGCTCCGATACCATCAATAGCATAACCCCCCTGTCCGTGGAATCCAACAAGAGCCCTACCTTTGCTCTCCAACACGAAAGTGCGCTTACCAGCTGTCCCATATATAGGAGAGATTCTCCCTTTCGATGTCTTGAAACTCAATGACCTAATTCGATTTGAATAGTCAGAGCCGCCTGGGTCACAAGTCCCTTCAACAGATGTAATATATTCATTTGGATAGTCTAGTACAAACTGCAACATACAAATCCAAGGTTTTTTAGGAGCTATATATATTCAAGAATAGATTAACGAATGTTGTATGATTCTTTCTTGGAAGTATCTCTTCACTTCTTAGCCTACTATTTTTGTAATAAAATTTTAGTTAGTGAATGTTCAAATGAGGACCTCCTTTAGTTCTCCTTGGACTCTATTTTCTCCAAGCCTATCTCCGTTTTCACGCGTTTCCACTTTTCCGGCTTTGTCGTAGTCGACCATGATATGCGATATCCCAGTGGGACTATATGTAACATACACCTTTCTTACGCCAGTGTAAACACCATGGTCCCATGAGTAGCCTCCACGACCACCTTGCTGTTCCAGTTTAATAGGAGGAAGTGTTATGAAATAAGTTCCAAGGGACGTTAGGTTTGTCTCGGCAGATCCATGGAATCCAATGATCTTATTTCCGCCTGCTTCAAGTGTAAACTTAGTGCCATTCTCATCGTATCCCATTACTTCAGAACTCCTCAGGTTGGTTTCGAATTGAAGTGCTTGAATCATACCAGATGTGTTATCATAACAACCCTTAATAGACACCAGATGTTCGTTGTTGAGATGGTTAATCTCAAACTACGTACAAGAAAAAGGAAAAAAAAGTTATTAATGGATCAAATCTCTTAACATGTTATCTCATATATAGCATAGCATGATGTCTCATATATACTTACTGTCTGTGTGAAACCACGACCATATACACCATGGATGGGTCCAACATTGGTATTTCCAGCCTTGACATACTCAAACTTGACAAACTGAATGCCTTGAAGACCACCTCGCACATGTATCTTTGTTACACCTTCATAATCGGATCCATCATCCCATTGATTCCCTCCCTTTCCACCTTTAGCTTCCACCTTTAAGGCCATCAGATCTTAGTTTAAAGAGAGCAGTTTAATCATTAAACAATTTAGTCATTCATCATTACCCACTTGAGGAGAAATACAAAACCATTTTGCATGAATAATTTAAGTAATATAATGAAGCACCATGTTTTGACCAAAATAAAAATAAAAATGAAGCGCCATGTTTCTTGGGTGCAAAAGTAATTACCTCTTATGCCGGAGTAGAGAGAAATTATCGGGAACAGATGGAACAATGGGGAGTGAGCGATGAAGAATAAGCATATGGTGAAGGTGCCTGTTTTATACACACAAACAGTTAAAATTATCTAATTATCTAGGAATATTTTTTTTTGTATTTGGACTCGTGGTCCGCGAGGCAATCACAATAACTTATTGTTATTGTTCGTGCTTAGGTCGTGGCTCGTGAGGCCATATAATTTTAACAATTTTATCTTCGTGATCACTACAAATCTCTCAACTGTATATTTTTATTTATCTTATACTCATGAGTCATGGTCTTGTTTAGACCATAAAGACCATGAATGTTTACTGCGGGTCATCTGTTCCAATGTGCAGAACAACCATTCACCATTTTTTTAGCATTGCGTTTTCAAATAAAATTAGAGAAATTTTGAGATATGCCACATGTCTCATGCCACTTTGCAAAAAATGCCACTTTTTTGCAAGTTTTGCAAAAATGTCACTTCATTTTTTTCATATTCCAAAAATACCCTCTTTTAAAAACTGCTTCACA